CAGAGTTTTTCAAGCGAGTTGTCTGAGAAGTTGAGCAATAATGGCATCACAAATATATTCACTTTTCATCTGCAGTTACTGATAAACTTGTACTCGCTTCCCTCGCCTAGCATGATTGTAAACTCCGGTCGCCGAGAGTAATTTTGTAGGCACAAAAATGTGAGGGGAGCCTGATTTATTTGCCTTCTCGTCCATTACGCTCAGTTTTACCTAGCGAAGCTATAATACTGCGCACCGATGAATATGTTAGGAGCGTTGCAGACAAGCAACTTGCAAGACGTTAAATAAAATTTACGATAGCCAGAATACCGAGGCTCTTTGGAGAAGCGAAGGAAGCCGGTGAGTGATGTCATGTACACACGAGCATCGCAAACCTCCTGAAACTCATAGCGTTGGTCACAAGTTCGTGGTGTTTTAGAATCACGTCTGGGGTTATTGACTAAAAACTTCTAAATTTTAAATTATCAAAGAAAATTATTCGCAGTAGTTTAATTATGATTGAATAAACAATACCCACTGTTCAAAAGCGATTTATGTTCTGAAGGGTATTACTTCATTTCGCATTGAAAATAACCACGACCATTTAGGTTAGAACTTAATTTCTTACGAGTAACTCAGATACATATATAAATTGGACGAACTGAAAATTGAATGAATTATAACAAAAAATGAAAAGTAAATGAATTAAATTATTATAAATAAAAATGTGCTGCTGAAATTTCATGACCTCGAACGGCGATTCATTTACCGACTGGCTGAAAAATTATTTACAGCTATAAATCCAAGCTTCGCAGAGTAAAAAAAATTAATATGCGTTCGTTGATTTTCAATATGATGGTCATGCAAACCAAAATCATCATATGAGCTAAATCAAATATTAGAACGTTATCAGTTTTAAGACGTTGCGTTGCTCGAATAGATTTTAATTAATTACATGGTCCTCCAGAACACGTTTCCCAAGTGGACACCGTCGTGGGCAAATGGATCATCGTAGGGTGGCCCAGTGGTTAAAGTTCAGAGTACCAAGATTGGCGCAGAGAGGCGCGGGTTCGATCCCAGCTCTGTGCGCCAGTTTCTGGTCATAATCGGCAAGGAGGCCGGGCGGTTAAGCACAGCAGAATGGGAGCAGTGAGTTGCGAGTTCAAGCGCGCAAAATGCTGTGAATGTTCTGCGATGTTCAGAATCGGCGACAGGCTTACGGCCTAATAAACGCTGAAGCTGCTATTATTATTATTATTATTATTTTATTATTATTATTATTATTATTATTATTATTATTATTATTATTATTATTATTATTATTATTATTATTATTATTATTATTATCGTGAGAGTTCACATAGGGAAGACGCTCCGACGGCCGGACTATGACATTGATTATTTATCAGTCGACATTATTCCCGGAGCTCAGCGGTGGACTCGGTAGCTAAAACCATGGCTAAACCCACGTGAGCTCAAGTACAACATTCATAACTCCGCCTATCCTCAATCGATCTAGATGCAAAAAAAAAATTATCTAATCACCATCAATACGCTCGCGCGAGCAGTGTCAGAATTTTTTTCGGCTTGTATTTAATAAAATGAAATTTACAAATTATAAGGTTGGGTAAAGTGGAGTAGTTTCAGGGTATGTTAGCAATAGTTATTTTATTCAAGTCAGAATTATAAATAATCTATGTTAAATTAGCCTAACGGCTTAGAATTTTTGGTTGACTAGAAGATGAACCGGAATAAAGAAAATTGGGACTTGTTTCTTACGGGCATGACACTATTGACATGTGTAATGATGTTTCTAATTTCATCCAGATGGGTTCGGCGGTTGAGAATTGAAGTAATTTGGCAGCCCCAATCACTCAATATTATTACGCAACAATATTTAGGTGGAATTACCATAATGACGGGTTGTAATGCCATAATGACGGGTTCAAAATCATCATTTCGAAAATCGTAATTTTGAAAATCGTGATTTTGAAAATCATGATTTTGAAAATTGTGATTTGCAAAATATTGATAATGTATTGAGAAGAAAAAATGGAAAATATTGTACTGACTAGAACCTACATTGCACAATATTTGTTTAGCGTTGCCGCATTTTTGTTAGAAAATATGTTGTTTCTTTTGAAGGCCGGCAGAATAAGTTCTGTGGTAAGGATAGGGCGTTTACAGTAATTGTTAATATTGGTGCTCCTAAGATCAGAGACCTTGTCAGCAGCACCCATTGACAACGAGTTATTTAGAACTTTATCACTTACACCACCGTAATTTATTTCGTGAATGTTGCTCTGACCGTCGGACGTCTCACAGTCTCACTTGACCTTGTCACTACTCACTACTCCATTCAATTGTACTTTTCAAAGTTCTCCAGTCACATCAATTGTTATAATTGTCTGTGAGCATTATCTATGTTTTATTCAATCACCTCCGTAAGGCTCCGTTTAATGCAAAATTGCAAATGCAATGCAGATTGCAGGCTCCAGCTCCACTATCGCTATCGGCAAATGGCAATACGAATTGCTTAGCGCTTTATTTATTTCATAATTCAGGCTCATCATCTCATGTCTTGGCAGACAATGGCACGTCTGCAGTAGACTCACTATCACTAGACTGTAATTGTACCTAAATATATAAAATAATAAAGATTAAAGAGTGTGCGGGGCAGCGCGGCGCAGGTGGCGTCTGATTGTGGCGACCCATAGCCGACAGTAGATTTTTCAGAAACTCTTTAATTTCCAATTTTCTGATCTACTCCAACTTCCAAGTCTAGGATTTTCTTCAATATCTTATCCAGTTATCCTTATTCACAAATCATGAAAATGCTGGTACTGGTAGAGGTAGTGGTAGCCTGGGCCGGGGGGCCCTGGTTGCCCTGGTATTTTGGTAATGACTAAATACTAATGGCATTGGCATACCGGTACCTATAATCTATGATGCTCTTATTTCTCAAGTTAGGTACTAGTCTTCAGACTTGTTAGGAGACAGGACACTCAGTCTCCACAGTCCACTCAGTGGTCTCAGCCCTCAGGTCTACTTATGAGTTATATCATGATAGGACCGACCAAGTACCAACTGCCAACTTGCCAAGTCTGACCACTTGACCAGCCAACGAAGAATGTATAACTATAAGCAGAGAAAATAGCCCAACAATTTTTATTTCTTCATGTGTTGATGATGATGATGTGTAGCTAAGTGTAATAGGAATATTCAGACATGAGCACCCACTGACCCACACTAGATTCACTAGGTAAGAAGACATGCCTATTTGGAATACCAGGGGCCCCGGGCCAATTCAAGGCCCACAAGTATTCTTGCCAATTTACTGGTTAATTCTGTCAAATTCTACACATGGCATGGGACAGACAGAATTGAAATTTTCATACATTAAAGAAAGTTTACAGTTCCAAAATGACAAATTTTTCATACATTTGTAATCTTGTGGCCCAAACATACACTTTTATTAACAATTAGATAGGATGTAATTTATCTATTGGGAATCTCATTCATTGCTCCATAATGGGGCATGGAAAATCATCGGGAAAGCTCTCTTAGCTCTGGTTGTGGCTGAAGCTCAAAAGGTAGATATATTCCATGCCTATTAGCAAAAAGGTCTGTCTATGCATAATTTCAAGAGGTAAAAATAAGAGGATATTCATCATTTATAGAGGACATGAATTAAAAACTTTGAAGGCAGTAAAAAGACTAGAAGCTATGTTAAAATTAGGCAGCAGGCAGTAAATAAATATGTAATAAATAAATATGTGGAATATAGGAAAAATTTGAAAAATAAATTTGTAAAAATTGCTTGTGAAAGCTAAAATTCTAAAATCATCATTGGATTACTGGGATATAGTGGCAAAACAGTGACTTTTTAGACTCTTCCTTTTTAAGTCCTATGAGCGGACCAGTACCGTATCAAGGATACGAGCATTTTTACATAGATATTGAATAAAATTTTGAGCTAGAAAACTATTAACTACTGATTTTTTTTTAAATCTCTTGCTTGCCAGTATGCCTCCGTACTATCTAATCAAGGGTATCAGTCAAATATCTTAAAATCTCCCAAATATTTAACTAGGCCCTTGACTCCCAGATTCACTTCTTAGCCAATTAATAATTTGGGTTGACAGAAATTAAACACAGAAAACGATTGAACTCAGCCAAAGTGAAAGAAATAATATTACAGTGTTTGGCTTATGAGGCCAAAGGAGTGCTAGTTTTTTTTAAATCATAGAATATGCTAACATAAAATTCTGCCCATCACATGTTTCACACTTTTGCAAGCATGCAAAATGTTTATACATAATGAATATGTACCCAAACATCAACAAGCAACACCTCAAGTCCTCAACCCATCAACATCATAAATAGAACTATAAAACAAGGATGGTCATAATAGCTGTGTAAAACATACATCCCAACTAACTCCCGCCCAGGCAATTGCATGCACTACTAGCACATATCTTGCTAGTTATGTTACTAGTAACTATATTTATTAGAAGTACTTGCTAAACAACCATCTCAATGAACTAATATTAGAATATTGGAATTTGCACGTTGCCTAAAAAAGGACATTGTGATAAATGATAAATTCATATATTAAACAAATGAATAACAATAAAACTGGAATGAAACTGTTTTGCTACAATATTACCGTATGTCCACAAAGTGCATCAGCAGAAAGATCCTTCTGCTGGTAAATTTTTATTCTCTACAGAAGAAGGAAACAATCTCCCATAATGTAAGCCTGACTAAAGATCTAATGTATAAACTTTGTACCCACTGCTGCTTCTATATCACAACTGCATAATTTTCTCATCCTCTGATGGCAATATTTTCAATATTGATAATTATTGATTGAGAATAATTGTATTACTGATTAGCAGCAGTAGACAGTAAAAAAATTTACTGTGTTGACTATGAAAATAAAATTTATTTTCTAAAATGTTTTGCATTTTTTAATGTCTTTATTGTGACATTATTTTTTTCCTGTGCTCCCAGTCATAAAAATATTCGAAAGTTAATTCAGATACATCCATTGCTTTAATAAATATAAACAGTACAAACTTTTAGTGCAAATCAAGACAAGAACATGAATGATTCTCAAGTAAGTGCTTCTTCAGTAAATACTGAAGAAGATGAAAAAATTGGAAGTGGCAGTGATGCCGAGATGGTTGTGACAGGCTCAATGACCTTTGCACTCACACCATCAGCTGCTGCCGCTCTTCATGTTGAAGCATCTGAAATAGCAGAGAAAAATGTCAACAGATCCAAGTCACCTCTCCCAAACAATGCTACAATAGACACAAGCAAATGTATTAGCATAAGTGAAGATTATGTGTCTTCATCAAGTGAAGAGCCGAGAATGGAAGGCCAACAAGCTGCACTTGAAACTAAAGATTCTAATGAAGTTAAAGTATCTTCTCCTGATACAAATGATGTTGCTGTTAATGCTCAAGAAGAGGATGGTGCAGCCAAGACCTTGACAACACCAGCTTCACATGCCACTAATGTGCTTCATTCGTCTGGATCACAAGGTGAGATATTCACTGTAATTGTCTAATGATACTACATAACAACTGCTATTTTTAATTTAGGAATCAACTGAATTTGGTATGGACTTGGTACATTTCCCCCACTGTAATATAAAAAAACTTGGAGGTGTGAATTTTTATCATGTTTTGAACAACTTGATGCAACTTCTATTACATGTTTACCCTTTTAAAATTGTTGAGAGCTGGCAAATGAAGTTTAAAATGATTTTCAGTTATAATTGATGGTGAAATTGTTTAGCTATTTTCACTGAATGATAATTTTATTTCATTGATTAAAATAGACAAAGTGTTTGTGTGCACATCAATCTCATTTGAGCTTGTTTGTTGAGCATAGCAAGTGAAAGCAGTGTGAATGAGCCTGAGGAAGTAAGTGCCCTGCAAGTAGGCACCCCACAGAAACGAAGGAAAAAGCTTAGAAAAAGGAAGGATTTAAGACGTCAAAGACCACAAGGCATGTAGCACTCTAGTTGAGTTAGTCCAGTTAGCTCACACTTAGACTATAAGTCTAACTTTCAAGTCTTCTTTGTGAATGCATCTAACCTGACGAATCTAATGATAGTTATGGTATCATTGGTTGCACCTGACTCATCTTTGTGTGCATATACGTATGTGTGTGTGTTTTCAAGTTGGTGACCTCTGTGTTTAGTTTATAATTTTTGCACTGACTGATGCCTTGATGCAACTTGATAACATTTTATGTTGTAAGCTTTTCTTTGGTTCATTGTTTTATATTTTCAAAGTGTATATCACTGGCATTTGTGTGTGTAATGTTTTTTAACAAATGATTAATTCAATTGCTACTCACTAACTGGCTTTATTTTTGCACTCATATATTGCAGGAATAGGTAGCATCTTAATCAGCTGCAAAACGTGATTTTATTTGGAAAAATTTTCAAACCTTTAAATACTTCCAAGCAGAAAAGTCTTACCTGTAGCTTTAAAAACATTCAGTGATCTTTTAGTGATACCATACCATTTTCATGTGTTCATTTCTTCAAACCCTGGAGAAAATTTTCTAAATAAAGAGCCCCGTGTAAGCTATTTATTTCAGAAGAATTATTCACAATTTTAATCAAGTTTATCTCCACAGCTTTAGGTGATCTGCCGTCAACTGTTGTGCGTCTGGTTGGGCCGAACAACTGCGAGGTGTTCGTGGTAGGCACAGCCCACTTCTCAGAGGAGAGCCAGCAAGATGTAGTAGCAACCATAGAGAAGGTTCGCCCTGACGTTGTTGTGCTGGAGTTATGCAGAGCTCGGACAGCCATCTTGTCCCTGGATGAACAGACCATTCTACAAGAGAGCACCAACATGGACTTCACAAAGATGAGAGCTGTGTTGAGCCAGCATGGCAGGGTGCAAGGTATTCTATACCTCTTGTTGCTCTCAGTGTCAGCTCACATTACAAAGCAGCTTGGGATGGCACCCGGAGGAGAATTCAGAGTTGCTGTCTCTGCAGTGAAGCGTCTTGTTCCAGGAGCTAGCATCCAGCTCGGGGACCGCCCCATTAACATCACTTTGGGCCGCGCTCTGGCTGCCCTATCTCCCTGGTCTAAGCTCAAACTTGCCTTCCACATCATCACCACTTCAGAGCCCATCAGGTCTTGGGTTAGAGCGTGTATAAGCAATTCTATGTTATTTGAATTTATCATATTATGATGTCATTGAATACTGAATTAAGCCTTTGCTTTGCATTCGACCATTACTTTATAGCCAAAAATATTGTGATTAAATATAACGTAAGAAAATTGTAGCAGGGTGTCGTGTAATTAATCATATTATGATGTCATTGAATACTGAATAAAGCATTCAACTATTAATTCATAGCTAAAAATATTGTAAGTGAATATATGCAACATTATGAAAGTGGGTAGCAGGGTGTCGCATAAATCATTTCTTTGTACTTGTAGCTAAATGATGTGTGTCACGTTTTCCAAAGTTATTTTATTTTGTACAGCAAAGAGGGTAGTTGTAGCACAATAATGTGTATCATGTTTTCTAAGGTTGTTTTATTTTGCACAGCAAAGAGGGTAGTTGTAGCACAATGATGTGTATGATGTTTTCCAAAGTTATTTTATTTTGTACAGCAAAGAGGGTAGTTGTAGCACAATGATGTGTATGATGTTTTCCAAAGTTATTTTATTTTGTACAGCAAAGAGGGTAGTTGTAGCACAATGATGTGTATGATGTTTTCCAAAGTTATTTTATTTTGTACAGCAAAGAGGGTAGTTGTAGCACAATGATGTGTATGATGTTTTCCAAAGTTATTTTATTTTGTACAGCAAAGAGGGTAGTTGTAGCACAATGATNGAATATATACTTAGTGCAGATTACAACCTCTCACACTCTCTGCACCTCGCCTGCCACCCTTCGCCCCTCACTGGTATAATATATACTTAGTGCAGAATTCAACCTCTCACACTCTCTGCACCTCGCCTGCCACCCTTCGCCCCTCACTGGTATAATATATACTTGGTGTAGATTACAACCACACCTTAGCATTTGCATGAACAAATCTTCAAACGTAGTACTATACTTCCTTTAGTTTAGTGTTGTACGTACCTGTAATAAATTTACAAAAACAGATTGAAACAGACTTGATTTTACCTATTGTAAGTATAGTGTATATAGGTACTTTCTTTCCTTCCTACAAATCTTCAAAAGTAGTATTATTTAATGTTATTTACTTAGCGTAGTACTGATAGATTCTTACTGGTGTTTAGCTTGCGTGCCGGTTAGTGAATATAATCTTTGTATAAACTGGTTCACCTATTGTAGAATTGTAAATGTGAAATGATTTACCTGTTGAAAAGAGTATAGTTAGAAACTAGGTTCATTGCAATTCATGCTGTAAACAAATGTACATCATGTGAAACATCGTACCGGTATGCATAAAAAAATTCGTTTCTTCTCTAGAGAATTTATCTCGGGAGTAAAATACCGGTACTGGGAATTTCCAAATTTTAGAGGAAACAACAACATGTTTAAGTGTTCCAAACTTCGTGTTTCTTGCTTATTGTACACCTGTGCTGATTTATATATACGTTATATATATTATATATAAATAGACAAATATATCGTGGTTGCTAACACCACTTCAATTGACAACTTTTATCTTGATTGCTCGATACGTGCAGAATTTTTATTCTCGCTTATCAAATGTTAACTTGCCTTGCCGATTCGTACATAACGGGGTTAAAACGGAGAAATTTCTAAGCTTAATTCCTTTGTCAATTCAAATGTCGCAGTTCTAGTGTCAATACGAACTAAAACACCTTCGATATCATATGTTTGTCTCACTACGACCACGAAATTGGTCATAGACATCGCCACCAGATTTGTCATTAATATCTCCTAGTTAGTTATGAATAACCATTCAAGCTGGTAATGATGTTTTCGGGTTAGGAGAGAACAAGTGTTAGCCTAGTGATCTGATTCTTCTTCTTATTTACTTGTTATTATCTTTTTTTAAACAACACCTCCAGCTCTCCTTCTCCTTTCTTCCTTTCTTTTTTTTTTTTTTTTTTTGATGGAAGTAGTAAACATGTACATGAGTACGAACCTTCTTCACTTGTTTTATAATTTTTTTTTTTTTACAAAAACCTCCACCTCTCCTTCTCTTTCTTCTTAGCAAACATCAACATGAGTTTGCATCATCATCATCAACCTGAAACATCAACAACAACCTCTCCTTCTCTTTCTTCTTAGGTAGCAAACATCAACATGAGTACGAATCTTGCTCACTTGTTATTATTATTATTTTTGTTGTTTTCATAGTTACGTAATTATTATTTTTATTGTCAGGAAACCGCGTGCCACGTCGCGTCGTGGGGGTAGTGGGCATCGGCCACCAGAAAGGCATTGAAGTTCATTGGGGCAAAGTCACCCCTCAGCAACTCCGTGAACTTCTCACGTAAGCTGATTTATTTCTCAATCGTTTACGACATATTCATGGATTATGTGATAGCTTAATCTTAATACGATACCGATAGCATTGAAGTTCATTGGGGCAAAGTCACGCCTCAGCAGCTCCGCGAACTTCTCACGTAAGCTGATTTATTTCTCAAGCGTTTACGACAAATTCTCAGGGATTATGTGATAGCTTAATCTTAATACGATACCGATAGTATTGAAGTTCATTGGGGCAAAGTCACCCCTCAGCAACTCCGCGAACTTCTCACGTAAGCTGATTCATTTCGTAATCGTTTACGACAAATTCTTAGGGATTATGTGGTAGCTTAATCTTAATACGATACCAATAGTATTGAAGTGCATTGGGGCAAAGTCACCCCTCAACAGCTCCGCGACCTTCTTACGTAAGCTGATTTATTTCTTAATCGTTTACGACAAATTCTCAGGGATTATGTGATAGCTCATGCATGGTTAATTCGCATTTGAGCAAGGGCCTATTGGCGGGCGAATTGAAATTTGGAAATTGTTGGTGAAAATTTGCTGTTTTTTTCTGGTTGAATATTTTTGATATGAAGCATGGACTTGGAAATTGATGGTGAAAAGTTGCTGTTTTTATTAACTTGACATGAAGCATGAACATGAGTAGATCGCTTGTTAAACCATCCTGCTTTATTATGCCAACTACTATTATTATCATTAGGTATTCTGCGAAGCAGTTATCTTGGCGTCTGGTTCAAATGAACTTCAAGGGCACATTACACATTAGTTTAATAGCAAGCGAAAAATAAATAGACGCGAAAAATGATGGGAACGGATAAAATGACCAAGCACTATATTCATATGCTCTACGAAATAGTTACGTCTTTAGGCGTTTAAACACCTGCAACGAAGAAGCCAATGTTACCGAACCCGGCAGACTGTTCCAGGTTCTAGCGGCGGCGACCCAGAACGCATAGTTGCCGACGGTAGATAGATGTGTAGATGGAACGACGAGGTCCGCTGTTGATGACGAACGCAATCGTCTTCTAGTAGGCAGATCCGACACGCGCTGCAGACCTTCCCTGAGATAAGGAGGCGCCAGACCGTGAAGGCTTTGGAACGTCAGAACAGCGACCTTGAACTGCGTGCGCTGTTGCATGTGTAGCCTGTAGAGATCGCGCGATATCGGCGTCATGAGGTCGAATTTTCGCTTATTGCACGCGATTCGCGCAACAGTGTTCATTACGGATTGCAGTTTATTAAGTGCCATGGTAGGAGATCTATAGACTAGAGTGTGGCATTACCATAGTCCAATCTGACCAAAACGAGCGCCACCACGAGGGCCTCGAGAGACAGCGGCTGACGCGAAGTATTCGTTGTGCAGAGCACCAAAATAAACGGTGGTGGCTTAAGCTATGTGATTGTTCATAGAAAGTTCTGAGTATACCGGAAAACCGAGGTTGCACACCGAAGACGCAGGCATGACGAACGCGTAGCCCACGCGAACAGGGCTGGCCGGAAGCTGATACTGGCGCCGAGCAGTCGCAAACCAAATAAAGTCGATTATTGATGCATTGAGCTGGAGCCGGTTAGAGCGCATCCAGTCTGAGACAGCATCTATGCAGACAGACATCCGCTCCTGCAACGCTGCAGCTTCAGCTGGTGCACAGTAGCCTTAAATTTAGGTGTCGTCAGCGAACATATACGGATTAGAAAGATAATGGTTAAAAAGGGGATCATGGCGATGCGTGAGGATACCTAATGAGTAGGAAAAAGGAGGCCTAAGTGGAGAGGGGAGGCCTAATGAGTGGGAAGAGGCAGGTTTAAGTGGAGAGGGAAAGGCCTGATGAGTGGGAAGGGGCAGGTTTAAGTGGACAGGGAAAGGCCTGATGAGTGGGAAGGGGCAGGTTTAAGTGACAGTGAAAGGCCTGATGAGTGGGAAGGGGCTGGTTAAAGTGGACAGGGAAAGGCCTGATGAGTGAGAAGGGGCAGGTTTAAGTGACAGTGAAAGGCCTGATGAGTGGGAAGGGACAGGTTTAAGTGGACAGGGAAAGGCCTGATGAGTGGGAAGGGGCAGGTTTAAGTGGACAGGGTAAGGCCTGATGAGTGGGAAGGGGCAGGTTTAAGTGGAGAGGGAAATGCCTGATGAGTGGGAAGGGGCAGGTTTAAGTGGAGAGGGAAATGCCTGATGAGTGGGAAGGGGCAGGTTTAAGTGGACAGGGAAAGGCCTGATTCATGGAAAGAGCAGGCTATGTGAATCAATTATGTGCAAAAACTACTACTGTAATAAACATATTATATTTGATTAATTTTCATTGTTTCTTCCTACAGTATCCCTCCATCGAGCCTCGCTAACCGCGTCGTGTCGCTGTCGTGGCGCCTTGGCGTGTACTGCCTGGCGGGCTATTGCTGCTACCGTGTCGCAAAGACCGGCCTCGGAATGCGGGTCACCAGCTCAGTCGTCGCCGTGACGTCATCCGTGGCGGTTGCGTCGACAGCGCTCCTGGAAAAAGGCGCCCAAAAGGCTGGATTTGGGTTCAGGTCCTGAAAACAGGCGGAAGGTGGAGGCAAATATCGGATGTGTAGGTAATTAAAGACATTGTATTTTTCCGGGTGATTTATACTGTAATTGTATTGTGTTTTTCATGAAGAACACGCGAGCTGTAAAAATGTCTCCTATGAAATATCTCATGATTAATTTGTTTCAGATGGCTGAACACCCTGGTGTCGTTGAGTCCGCCGTCTACAAGCCAATCAGAGTCCAATACTTCAACTCCTCAATTTCAACTCACGAGAAACATTACTCCCACTCGTACATCGATTCCGTCCTCTCAATTCAGTAAAAGTACCTGCAACCTCACTTCAGTTCCATTAACCATGGAAGATAGTTCCATTAAAGAATCAGCATTTCCAGATCCGGATGGGGAAATTCCTCATACACGTGCCAAACACTCGCAACTGCAAAATAAACGCGGAAGTTTCCATGATGGCGCCGTTTCTCCGGAGGCCAAACATCACGGCGTTTCAAACCAACCTTCTCACACTTGTGCGGTGGTTAATGACACCGCTCTTAATATTCCTGAATTAAACTTTGGCAATGAACTTCACTGGTCGGAATATTACGGCGAGGACGAGTATGAACATCCCCAAGGCGATGTAATGTACGTCACATCCTCCATCCTTGGTCCCGGTGCAGACGTGGAGTTGTTCGAGCAAATGCCTCAGGGCTGCCGCTGTAGCTCCGATTGTTCAGTGATATTACAAAATGACAATTCATCCAAGCCACAATGTGAAAATTGGCCTGCCATAGAACTTTTGAACGAAAGTTCCTGTATAAGTGTTGATGATTCTGTTAGGGCCTTTTCAAGTAAGTCCGATTCAGCAGCTGCCATTAAGGACGCGGATGTTGTTAACCCCTCTACCAGCAAGTCAGTTATATCTTTGCTGGACGAGCAAACAGGTCCTCTGACTCCAATTGAGTCGAAGAATCACGATAGAAGCGCTAGTTGTTCATGCTTGCATCGCGCTCCACTTTCTTACAAAAACGGACTGCTGCTGCAAAATGATCTTCCTTGGCCATTGTATGAATGTAACGATGACTGTGCCTGCCCTGGTGCTGATGTAACCAGCAGTGCAAGAGCCGTCAGAGCTGCAACGTGCGAAAACAGAATAGTGCAGCGAGGTCCTAGAAAGAATTTGATGATTGTGAGAACTGCTGAGTACCCAGGCTCTGTTGCTTGTTCGGTTGATGATTCAGAAAACGTGCCAAAACCTTCACCTGAGAGAAATTCAGCGCGTTTCACCAAAGGTTATGGTGTGATAACCACAAGTTTCATTCCACGTGGTGCTTTCATTTGCGAGTACGCAGGGGAAATCATCGGCATTGAAGAAGCGAAGAAACGATTTTCTAAGCAGGATGCAATGGGTACGAGCAACTACATCATGGTTCTTAAGGAGCATTGTGTTTATCAAGGAATGAATCCTAAAAGTGGTAATGAAAGTTTGAGACCGATAGCTCATGGGGATTCCTTATTGAAAGCATCTTGCAATAAAGAAGAAAATAGTGAAAATTTCCGTAATAATTACTCTATTTTGAAAAGCCAACTTTCATCTCAAATGCACTCCAATATCTCACTGGCATATAAGCATTTAGAAAATTCTAGTAGCTCAGATATCCCGAATGTTTTGTTGCCCAGTGAAGCGTGTTGTCCAAACTCAGAAAGTTTACAGTCCGTCAGAAGCACAAATTTATGCACACACAAAATGGGAGAAACACAAAAGATGGGATTTTTCTCCCACACAAAATGGGAGAAAACTTTATGTGAGAATGACGCTCGGTTCCCAGAAGAAAGTGGTGACGCCAGCAGCACAACGCTTCTGACGATCATCGACCCCACTTTGTTCGGTAACATCGGACGATACCTGAATCATTCCTGTGACCCTAACATCCACGTGCTGCCGGTGCGCATCAACAGCTTAGTACCTCGAGCTGCGATGTTCGCCCTCAGGAACATTCAGGCCGGCGAGGAGCTTGTCTACGACTATGGGTCACACTCCACGCACCACGCAAGTGTGTTCGACAGAAGCAGTTCTAGTGCTGAGACTAGCATGAGGAACATTCAAACCGGCGAGGAGCTCGTCTACGACTATGGATCTCACTCCACGCAGCAAGCGAGTGTGTTAGACAGAAGCAGTTCTAGTGCTGAGACTAGCATGACACTCTCTAGCGAAGTAGAAGGCAATATTAGGGAACGAAACTATCCCGAAGAAATTTCTGTTGGTGAGAAACTGATTAATTTAAAGGAAACGGAAATAATTTTAAACCCTGGAAATACGCCGGGAAACTATTTAGGCCGCATGTTAAAGCTCACTGGCGTCAACGCGCCACCTGGCAGAAGTGAATCGCTTACTCAGAAACGGAAAACAGTCGAAGAAAACGGGAAGCTGAAGAAGCAACGTGTCAACTTGACGCCATGTCTCTGTGGGGCCTCTAATTGTCGAGGTTTCCTCCCATCCCAAACTGAACTTTTCTAAGTAACATGCATGCATACTTAGCTTTGCTGTCGGGCTCTGTCAAATGTCTGATTACTTGGAGCTGCCGACAATACGTTGCCAGTTTTGAAACTGGTTGCTCCAACTGTACTCGTTACAAGTATTAGATTGAATAATCATGTTTTTTAACTTTGGCTCTGGAGAATATGATGGTTAGTGACTTTTTTATTAGGCTTGATAATGCATTTAAATTTACCAGCTTTCACGTGAGAAATGTAAGAACTTTGACTGATTACCATGGCCACGCGATGGAAGCCAACATGAATATTTACAATTTTTGAAATAGACAACTATTTGTTGTTCATGATAATATCTCCTTACAATTATTTGTAACTATTTGTTGTCTATGATAATATGTCCTAAATGTAGCAGGAGTTATTCCACTTGGTGAAGGCAATGAGTCACAGAACTGTAGTCAACATGGCTTGATTTCAACGACGGACCAGATAGTGCGTTTCGCTTTTCTTCAGTTTTTGCTTGCTTCTAGTTGTGTTCATGAGCTATGCTTGTAGCGTGTAAAACTTTTCAATTATTACCGTATTAATCGTGATAAACGAAAATTGAGTTTCACTGAAACATTGTAATTTGATTCAAAATTTGTCATTTTCCACTTCCTTATTCCAATTTTCGAAAGATTGTTATTGTCATAATAGACTATAAAATCTGGTTCTGGCGTTCAAGAAAATAATTCCATCCTTTATGTATGTGGACCCGGTAGAGGGTAACACCTCGGTATACAGAATTATGAATGTTTGCAAATCTATTGTTTTTAATCCATCACTTTCTTTACTGATGGGATAAAATAACCTGCTCACCTGCTCATTTATGAACATTCTTTGTTTTCACATGTTATATTATCATCTGAGTTGAGTGTTCTATATATTGTTATCTTAATTGAGTGATATATTCCAAGATGTATGATTATTCATTTGTTTTCTGGGTTCAGGTTTATTGCAACCAGCATTTATGTATCTATGATGAATATTCTTTGTATGGAATTTATATCAAGTTATACTTCTGCACAGCCAAATTCCAGTGCATTGACTTATAGTGACAAACTGAAGCTGGTCTCGCTTGTTCGCCATTGGTACATTACTTAGGCATCCGCGGTGTCAATACCAGTGAAATAAGTGAAGAGTTTCACAGGAAGGAAAGTGCATAATTGAATTATTTCAATGGAAGAAAAATATCTAACGAGATGAGTGCCATGACTGGCTTTAGCTGGACATAGTGAAGAAGTGCCTATAATAAATAAAGCGTGTGTTGAATGGCCGTAGTAAATACAATGCAGAGTGCAGACTGTTACTGTAATCGAGAATTATATCTTGTAACTTGAAGACTAACCGACTTGTTTTAGCTGCAGTATCACTTTTATATTACTACTGGAAACGTTTAATAGGTCAGCTGACCCAGTGTATAATTCATATTCTATTTAATACCAGTAACTACAGTCATTAATGGTTGTCAACTGCTGTCATGCTCATTTATGGCGACACAAGTCCATTTTTTCTCCGCTGTTGCTACCAAAATTAATTGGAAACCTTCAGTTGATCTTGGAAGTTTATTTCGTCCGCATTCTGATTGTTATGCAATAGAATTGTATTACATTGAGGTTTCCTCTGCCATAACACCATAGATTAATTTCTGCTTGGTTGGTGAAATTATGTACGCTTGCTATTTGTAGATGCTCGCATTATTTTATGTTTCTCCCTGGCGTTCTTTTTAGCGCATTTTCTCATTTATGGAAAAAGAGCGCTATTGTGCTCGTCCTGTCTGTCTGTCTGTCTGTCTGTCTGTCTGTCTGTCTGTCTGTCTGTCTGTCTGTCTGTCTGTCCGTCCGTCCGTCCGTCCGTGACCACGTTTTCGTCAACGAGAAAATGCGCTCTCTGTCACTTACTGCAGTGAGTACTGAGTTATATTTTTTGAAGGTTTTCTTTACGATCGCAGGTTTGATGGTGAGTGCCGTTAGACGTGTTGTGTTTTTATAGCAGTCGATATTTTTGCGTTGCATGTCCCGCGATATTTTTTTACATATTAAATAGCAAGCTTATAGAATTTTTTTCACCATAATGCCTATGTAGCTTTACTTTTATAGATTGCGTACAGCGTATGAAAGAAGAGTGAGATTATGTAAGTTAAAACATTTATGCGAGTACACAAGCGGTTAAACAGAGCTAGTCGGTTGAATAGGAAGTGTTGCTGCAAATGAAGGTTTATAATCAAATGTGTTTTTATTGAGAGTCGTACATTTGTTTAAATGCCCTTTTAGTTGTTACGAATCATTACTTCTAAACTTATTATTTCACGTATCAAATCCCGTTTCGTTTTATTCTAGCGAGCAATGAAAGCAGCAGTTAATGCAAACCTCGCAAGAAAGCGTTGAAACTTCAAAACTACGAACTATGGGACACCTCAACTCTTCTCGTAAATCAGAAGGCTGTCTGAATTTTGGCATGCATAATCAGCAATTTATTTGCAATCTGTGGATTAAACAAAAAATGTTTCAATTTTTATTTAAGAGATATAATTATGATTAATTTTGCGCATCAATATTCACGAATCGTGCGACTTGCACACATTTATGGAGGTGTCTATTGAATTTACCCTTTAATTTCCACTGATTGGTTATCCTAACGTTTCTCTCTCCTTTCAGAAATTAGTTACCAAAACCTAGTCGAACGATCATGCTGAAATGTGGAGTGAAATTCCGAATACGTGAATGAAAATACCTCACCCCGATGTTCGTGGAGCGTGCGACATTTTTATGATGTGCGAAGGTTCTATCCTTTATTTTTCATTGATCGGTAAATCTTGCATTTCTGAATCAAATATTGTAGTATATAAATGACTTAGAGTCGGGCATTGAAATTTTCTATAAATGACTTAATAAACCTATCGGACAGTGAAAATTTCTAGATTAATTCAAGCGTTCTCTCTAGTTTGTCGTTCTTTTGAAGGGTTAGCTTTCAGTGAAGCCATCTCTTTTTCAGAGCTATAGTATATAGTTCCTATATGGTCTACAGAATGAACACGCATATTGGCTTGCGGTCCTCTAGAACCAAAAAGTTCAATTCGGTCGCTAGTTCATCTGCTTACCGGAAAGTGCCTCTTTCTTCCGAACACCTAAGCGAAATGTATGTGTTGGTCAAGAGATCCAGGGGAGATGTCAACTATAATCAGCCGCGTGTTGGGTTTTACAGCGTTGTCCTGAAGGCAATCGTCAGGCACAAGGACGAAGTCCTAACCATGGGCGAGCAGCCTTAGAGACCCGATGATGCCATCCTATAATGTCCTGCCTGCCGTTCTTAACATAGTGATGTCGGCGCTGAAATGTAGGCCTGATGTGGCCTGTCGCCGATTCTTGTACTTTTCGTGCCTTGTTCACAGAAGATCTAAAATCGTGTCATTTGACCGGATCTTTTCATGACTGACGATAGTCTGAAGTAGCCACAAGACTTCCACCGGGTTCGATATGGTGCTAGGCATTTCAAGTCTGAACATATATTTTTCCATAGCTTTATCTAGTCTGTTATTGAACGCGTTTATACTCGGAGCGTCAACGACAATAGCTCTTAGAAAAGGATGAAGGAATAACTTTTTCCATGTTAGTCTTTATTAAAAAATAAAACGTGACAAACGGCAAGAGAAGTCGCAGTGGTTTTAATGGAGCAAAAATAATCCAGTAGTAAATTCTACCCAAATGAAATTTTGCAAGCAATGGAATAAAACTTGGCTTCTGTATTTTTAGTGAATGATTGTAAAAATAAAAAATTCAAAGCATATCGAATGGAGATTGATCAGAAGTCAGCCGTCTAATTGGGATCGTCTGCCTATGAATAAATGGCGAATTGGAACCCAAGAAACAATTTGCAATTATTTCTTTAATATGGTTTTTCAACGCCAATTACACCACATTTCAAAGTTCTTAAAAATACGTGACTAGCGTCAAACAAAATGAAGTCCACTACTATTATGATCAAAAGGATTCCAAATGACATTGAAATAAATTAATAAAGAACGAAACAATAATTAACGATTCTCCCGTGTCTAAAACAGTGCTTGGATTTAACATGTCCTTTTCGTGGCGTAAACCAATTTACAGGCAATTTTAGAAGCTTCTCAACAGTTGAACAAAATTATGATGCGAAATTCGCTTCTTCGAGGAAGCGATATGTAGAATAATTAATATTTATGGAGGTTAAGTACGGCAATAGCAACTTCCTAAGACCTCATGAGCACTAGTTTTTTCCGGGCCTTATTTGATAATAATTTCATCTTAACAAAATCTAAGACTTTTGTCATTATATTATTATAAATAGTGGATTTTTGTACTGATTATTAACGATCAAATAAGTTGGGAACAAGTCCTTTAATCAATTTAAGAGACACTTCGTACTAAACCTACATCGACTGGTGGTGAAACTCCCGATGGTCCAACGGAGAAGGAAGGGTTCGCAGAGAAACAATTCAATATGAAAGAAATGAAGTAATCATTTTGATTATGCAGGGAAGAAATGAGCTTCACGAAGCAATCATAATGATTGTGCGGGAATAAAGTGAGCTTTCACGAAGAAATAGTTTTGATTGACAGGGTTTAAATGAGCTTCACGAAACAATAGTTGTGGTTGTGCAAGTAAGAAATGAGCTTTCACGAAGCAATCTTTGTGATTGTGCAGGAACGAAATGAGCTTTCACGAAGCAATAATCATGATTGTGCAGGGATTAAGAGAGCTTTCACGAAGCAATCGTTTTGACTGACAGGAATGAGATTTCACGAAGCAATTATCATGATTTTATACGGGAGTACTGATCCTTTAAGAAACACTAATTATAGATCCCCATTTAAATCAAAGTAGACTCCATTATTTCATTTAGCAGAGGCTTATTCAGACATTTTGATCTTAGGTAGTTGCTTTCTCGAATACAATTCAAGTGCAAAAGAAAAATTAACAAGAAAAGCACGAGTTACCGGAAAAAAATCGACTTACATTATGCAATAAATGCAACGATAAGACATGGTGCTCTGCTCAGTTTTTTTAGCAATTTGGGAACAGTCTAAATACAAGAAGTACCAATATACATGGCTTAGAACTGAGGGGTCCAAATGCATAACCAACAAAGAGCTTAGAATTTCCGTCCGGACTCAAGAGCCTCTTATAAAATTATGCTCCATAAAAATTAAGTAATTTGAAGACAGTCTAAATACAAGAAGCACCAATATACATGGCTTAGAACTGAGGGATCCAAATGCATAATAAACAAGGAAGTTAGAATTTTTCTGGATTCAAAAGCCTCTAATAAAATTACCTAGGTACTCTGTAAATATTTAGCAATTTAAGTACAGTCTAAATACAATCTTGAGGCACCAATATACACGGTATAGAACTGAGGGACCCAACGGCACAATCAACAAGGAACTTAGAATTTTCGTCCGGATTCAAAAGCCTCTCAAAAAATTATGCTTAGTAAAAGTCGTACAAGTTTTGGCTGAAAATTACCACTCAATATTCGGGTCTCATTTGCAGCCTGCTTAAGACAGTATGGCTCATGAAAATGCAAAATAATTGAAACATTTCTGATTGAACCATCTCTAGAAATAATATCAAACATTTTTCAAGCCACGACTCCTAGGAAAATATACCTAATCAACGAAGAGAAAGACCTGAAATTAGACCTAAGAAAGAGCTGAATATATGTACAAAATCTAAAGGCATTGATGATAAAGATATGGTTAAGAAAGGATTAAGATAATGCTTAGTTATTCAATTACAGAGAATACAAAATAGGATAAGCTGAGAAATAATTAAATTTAGATTTTACAGTTGAATGTAAATCAATAGAGGTTTGTTACCAAATTCTAGTCGACCTCCACAACAGTGACAACCGAAGCTCTGACCGGGACATCGAAGGAAAACTTCGGTTTTTCCTTAGCGAGTTCAGCGTGTTTTTTGTGCGACATTTTCTGTAGGTCAAAACCATGAGTAATTAGCGTATAAGAATCTAGTAGCGTATAGCTCTAGTTGACATACCTTTCGAATGTGCGACATTTTCTGTAGGTCAGAACCATGAGTAATTAGCGTATAAGAATCTAGTAGCGTATAGCTCTGGTTGACATACCTTTCGGATGTGCGACATTTTCTGTAGGTCAAAACCATGAGTAATTAGCGTATAAAAATCTAGTAGCTTATACCTCTGGTTGACATGCCTTTTGGATAAAACGTTTGACGAATGCAGAAAACATTGGTAAAGTTGAGAATTTTTTAATGCGATATAATAAAGGCCATCAAAAAAATCTAGCAACGTATAGCTCTAGTTGACATGCCTTTTGGATTCCACATTTGACGAATTCGGAAAACATTGTTAACTTCAAAATTTTTTAATGCAATAAGTGGTATCGAAAAATTATGAAATGCGTAAGAATCCAACAATTGAGGTGATATATATAGTTTCGCCTTCTAACAAGAGAATTTGGCATGAATCTATGGAGTGAAATTTAAGATGCAAGTCCTTCATAATTCGTTAGCAGGAAATTATGATAATTATTCACAATTCATTTCTTGATTATTCATTATGATAATTATTCACAATTCATTTCTTCACAATTTGTTAGCCGGAAATTAAGATAATTATTGAGCAAGTTTCTCCCCTTACTTGGTATTGTCTTAACTTCAAAAAGTGAACAAAATTCCCCCTTCACAACGTATAATTTTCAATAAACTACGTTCGGTAAAAAATCAATTAAGTACGCTGAAACTATATAACTACCGTATATAGTTTCATTATATGTATATATAAAATATTATATACAAAAATATTATTTGATTTCAATATGTAAGTAAATATTGTTCTTCAACTATATAATAAAAATATAAATTATTATATTTAAACTATATATAAAATATAAAATAAAATATATATATAACTATATATTATATATAATAATAAAATAAAAAAATATATTAAATCAAATTAACCTTACTCCAGGCCATGGAAAAGTAATCACCTTTGTCTAACTATATATTATATATAATAATAAAATAAAAAAATATATTAAATCAAATTAACCTTACTCCAGGCCATGGAAAAGTAATCACCTTTGTCTCGAGGCGGTCATGCCAGTGCAGCACGATCTCCTGGTCACACGGGCACGTCTGGGCGAACACAGGATTGTTGTAGGCGTTGTGCAGGTACCTGTAATTACCAGTCCACAATTACATTAGCCTATTAGCATATTAGCCTATTAGCATATTAGCCTATTAGCATATTAGCCTTTTAGCCTATTAGCCTATTACTATCTTAGCCTATTAGCTTATTAGCCTATCAGTCTTTTGGCCTATTAGCATATTAGCCTTTTAGCATATTAGCCTATTAGCCTATTAGCATATTAGCCTTTTAGCATATTAGCCTATTAGCATATTAGCATATTAGCCTATTAGCATATTAGCCTATTAGAATATTAGCCTATCAGCCTTTTAGCCTATTAGTCTATTAGCCTATTAGCATATTAGCATATTAGCATATTAGCATATTAGCATATTAGCATATTAGCATATTAGCCTATTAGCCTTTTAGCCTATTAGCATATTAGCCTATTAGCCCATCAGCCTATTAGCCTATTAGCCTTTTAGCCTATTAGCCTTTCAGCCTTCTAGCCTATCAGCTTTTTAGCCTATTAGCCTATTAGCATATTAGCCTATTAGCATATTAGCCTATTAGCATATTAGCATATTAGCCTTTTAGCCTATTATTCTATTAGCCTATTAGCATATTAGTCTTTTAGCATATTAGCCTATTAGCTTTTTAGCCTATTATTCTATTAGCCTTTTAGCCTATTAGCATATTAACCTATTAGCACATTAGCCTATTAGCATATTAGCCTATTGGCATATTAGCCTAATAGCACATTAGCCTATTAGCATATTAGCCTATCAGCCTTTTAGCCTATTAGCATATCAGCTTTTTAGCCTATTAGCATATTAGCCTATCAACCTATCAGCCTTTTAGTCAATTAGCATATTAGTCTTTTAGCCTATTAGCATGTTAGCCTATTAGCCTTTTAGCCTATTAGCATATTAGCCTATTAACATATTAGCCTATCAGCCTTTTAGCCTATTAGCATAATAGCCTATTAACATATTAGCTTATCAGCCTTTTAGCCTATTAGCATATTAGCCTATTAGTCTATTAGCATACTATTAGCGAGAACATGAGAATTGTGCTCATTTACGGGTTACTTACGACTGCGCACGAGGATATGAAAACTGTGCGCTCAGAGAAACCACTTACGACGGTGCGCGACAAAAAATAACTTACTTGGAACTTTAAAGGCAACGAAAATATTAAAAACTTAGAAAATACAAGCAAAAGATGTTTTTTTTAATGGAAATTACAAGCAAAAGATGTTTTTTTAATGGAAATTACAAGCAAAAGATGTTTTTTTAATTGAAATTACAAGCAAAAGATATTCAAGTCATTATATAAAAGTTATTTGTCCAGTGAAAGTGATGCAACGTACCGCCAGAGGCCTCTGAAGCGCGTGGGGATCTGGTACGCCTTGAGGGCGGCAGCGGCGACTCTGAGATGCTGCAGCTTAGGCAGCACAACGCAGTCCAAGTGACTCAGACCAGGGCCTGTCAACCACTGCAACTGTCAACAAGAAGATGGCGTTAGAAATGGTTGTTATGGCAACTGTCAACAAGAAGCGGGCGTTAGAAATGGTCGTCACCTAAACTGTGAACAAGAAGAGGGCGTTAGAAATGGAGTCACCTAAAGAAATGGAGTCACCTAAACTGTCAACAAGAAGCGGGAATGGTTGTCTCGGCAACTGTCAACAAGAAGGGGGCGTTAGGAATGGTTGTCACGGCAACTGTCAACAAGAAGCGTGCGTTAGAAATGGTTATCACGGTGACTGTCAACAAGAAGAGGTGCGTTAGGAATGGAATCACCTAAACTGTCAACAAGAAGCAGGCGTTAGAAATGGAGTCACCTAAACTGTCAACAAGAAGCGGGAATGGTTGTCTCGGCAACTGTCAACAAGAAGAGGGCGTTAGAAATGGTTGTCAAGGCAACTGTCAACAAGAAGAGGGCGTTAGGAATGGTTATCACGGCAACTGTCAACAAGAAGAGGGCGTTAGAAATGGACGTCACCTAAACTGTCAACAAGAAGCGGACGTTAGAAATAGTTATCATGGCAAATGTAAAAAAAGAATGGGCGTTAGAAATGGTTGTCACCGAAACTGTCACCAAGAAGAGGGCGTTAGGAATGGTTGTCACGGCAACTGTCAACAAGAAGCGGGCGTTAGGAATGGTTGTCACGGCAACTGTCAACAAGAAGAGGGCGTTAGGAATGGTTGTCACCTAAAGTGTCAACAATAAGCGGGCGTTAGAAATGGAGTCACCTAAACTGTCACCAAGAAGAGGGCGTTAGGAATGGTTGTCACGGCAACTGTCAACAAGAAGCGGGTGTTATGAATGGTTGTCACAGCAACTGTCAACAAGAAGAGGGCGTTAGAAATGGTTGTTATGGCAACTATCAACAAGAAGAGGGCGTTAAGAATGGTTGTCACTGCAACTGTCAACAAGAAGAGGGCGTCAGGAATGCCCGTCTCGGCAACTGTCAACAACAAGCGGACGTAAGGAATGGTCATCGCGGCAACTGTCAACAAGAAGAGGGCGTTAGAAATGGTTATCACGGCAACTGTCAACATGAAAAGGGCGTTAGAAATGGTTGTCACGGCAACTGTCAACAATATGTGTGCGTTAGACTTAGAAAAGGTTGCCACGGCAACTGTCAACAAGAAGCAGGCGTTAGAAATGGTGGTCACTGCAAAAAAAATATATGTATATCCATCATGAACGGTTTCTTGTTATTCTTTTCAAGTTTAAAGTTGAAAAGGTTTGGATTGTCTAACAAATAGAGCACTAAAAATTCTAAATTTAGGCACTTGGAGGCCTCCACTAAATCCGTACCTGAAACAAATTTGCACAAACAGATTGAAACATATTTCATTTTACCTATTCGAAGTTTAAGGTTATTTTTTAATACAGCACTAAATTCGTACCTGAAACAAATTTACAAAAACATACCTATCCTATTCAAAGTTAAATTCTAATTCTACCTAATCCTATTCAAAGCTAAATGTTATTTTTTTTAATGTGGCCGAATCGTTTTGCTTGTGTACCTGAAATTTGAAACAAACCTCGTTGCTGCTAAATGTTATTTTTTATAAAGCGCGCTCATTCGTTTCGCTTGTGTACGTGAAATTTTGAAACAGACCTCGTTGTTCGCTTGTGTACGTGAATTTTTGCACAAACCTCGTTACTCTCAGAACAAAGAGACTCTGCGCCGCTGTCAGTCGAGCCGCCGAACAGTTTCGAGGACGAGGTGTTCACCACGGGCCAGTTGGTGCTGGTGGTGGGAAGGTAAGCAGCTGGTGTTCTTGAGACGGACTTCCCAGCTGGCAGAGGTGAAGAAGGACCAGATGAAGGCACTGGAGAATTGGAGGAACCTACAGACGAACGAAAAGAAGGAGCAGGCGACGCAAAGGAAGAAGCGGTTGATCCCGATAAGGACGACAAATTTTTAGCGGTTAGGGCCGGAGATGACGGTGTAGTTGGGGACTTTGGGGGTGGGGGTGAAGACGCGAGAGGACTGCAAGGGGGAGTGGCGGCCTCCAAAAAGGCGTCAAGCTTTTCAAGAGCGTGATCTAGTTTAGACGAGTCTTGATTGACAGCTTTAATGAAGAAGCAAAACTTCGAGAAGAAATCCTTACAAGCGATCTCAGCTTCTGGACTGTCGTATACCAAGCCTCCACCAGGGAACCTGCGGAGCAACAACCGTTAATTGTACCAAGAAAATATATCTAATTGACGCTAAGTTCAATAAAGGGTTCACCAAGAATTACCTATTCTTGCTTTATTCCTTATCCTATACAAGAAGCGGAGACGCGACGTGCCTTCAATCTGGTCTTCATAAGTAAACATAACCTTACGCTGATCTAAGGAAACTGCTCATAAAACTAAAACTTAGATTAAAAATACACAAATATTTAGGGAACTGCTCATAAAACTAAAACTTAAATGAAAAATACACAAATATTTAGGAAACTGTCATAAAACTAAAACTTATATTTTAGAAAACTGCTTATAAAACTAAAACTTAGATTAAAAATACACAAATATTTAGGAAACTGTTCATAAAACTAAAACTTAAATTAAAAATACACAAATATTTAGGAAAATGCTCATGAAACTAAAACTTAAATTAAAAATACACAAATATTTAGGAAACGGCTCATAAAACTAAAACTTATATTAAAAATACACAAATACTTATTCTATTCAATCTGGTCTTCACAAGTAATCATGACCTGACGCTGATCTAAGGAAACTGCTCATAAAACTAAAACTTATATAAAATAATACACAAATATTTATTCTAAATGGCTATTTTAATGAAATATATACGCATATATTTAGGAAACTGCTCATAAAACTAAAACTTAAATTAAAAATACACAAATATTTATTATAAATGGCTATTCTAATGAAATATATGACAATAGACGATGCCCACGTGTCATCGATGTACTGCACGATGTCGTCTTCGGCGTCAAAGCCTTCGTCGAGGTGGACGATGGCCGGGAGATGCTTGAGGCCAAGCTTCGTCAGCTCGTCAGGAGGCTTCGCTGGGCTGCACGCTATAACCTAAAAAATGCGATAATTTGGATAATTAAATTCAAATTTTATCCTAATGTGCATATTCGATATTTTAATGTAAAACTAATTTAATTTTATTATTTCCGGGCATGAAAGATGCATGACTAAACCTTGAATCGGAGACATAATAATTCAATACACTTTAAACAAGGCGATAATTTGGACAATTAAATTGAAATTTTATCCTACATTAGTAAGCATATTCGCTATTTTAATGGGAAACCAATTCTATTTCATTATTTCCGGGCATGAAAGATGCATGATTAAACCCTCTAATATTGGACGGTGCTGGACTGCACGCTATAACCTGAACAAGGCAATAATTTGGATAATTAAATTCAATTTTATCCTAGTGAGCATATTCGCTATTTTAATGGAAAACTAATTCCATTTTATCATTTCCGGTCATGAAAGATGCATGATTAAACCCTCTAATATTGGACAGGTGACATAATAATTTAATACTGTTTAAGTGCGTCAGGGGAATCAATAGAACAATTTAAATCTTTTTTAGTGCACCAGAAGAAGCAATGGAATAATTTAATACTTTTTTCATGCGCCAAAAGGAGCAATTGATTAATTTACTAATCTTTTAGTTCACCAGAAAGAGCAATAGAACAATTTAATACACTTTCAGTGCACCAGAAGAAGCAATGTAGTTACAGAAGTCAGGGTCTCACCTGAAACTTGAGCAGCCTGTGCTGAGCTTAAGGAGATATGGAATAGGTAATTTAATACCTACTCTTTTAGTGCAACAGAAGGAGCAATAGAACAATTTAATACACTTTTAGTGCACCAGAAGGAGCAATATAGTTTCAGAAGTCAGGGTCTCACCTGAAACTTGAGCAGGCCGTGAATTTAATTCTCTTTTAATGAGCAATTTAACTCTCTTTTTTTTAATCCACTTTAATTTAGTTTAATTTAGTTTCAGGAGTCAGTGTCTGACCTTAAACTTGAGCAGCCCGTGAATTTAATTCTCTTTTAGTGAGCAATTTAACTCTCTTTTTTTTAATCCACTTTAATTTAGTTTAATTTAGTTACAGAAGTCAGGGTCCCACCTGGAACTTGAGCAGCCCGTGCTGAGCTTTGACCATCATGACCATGTAGACGCGTTGGCAGAAGGGACAAGCTCCCATGCGCTCTCCATCAACTCCCGCCTTCACGAACAGGCGAACCACGTCGTCTGTCTTGTCTTTGTCCTGAGCACCCATCGCTTACAGAACCTTCGTTATTATGTTTGAATTGCCTTCTATAATTACCTTCGTTACTGTGTTACCTTAGAACATGTTACCTTCGTTCTCCTTATTATGTTTGAATTACCTTCTATAATTACCTTCGTTACTGTGTTACCTTCGTTACGTATTGCAATTGAATATATCGAAGAGATTCTAGGAAAGAGAACTGATATTGGAATTGAATAAATCGAAGAGATTATAGGTAAGAGACCTAATATTGAAATTAATTTACAAGATAAAGAAATTGTGTACGCTGTCCTGTAAATTGTAACCTATAATCTGCAAACAAACAAAAAATAGTGACAAAGCTAAAGAGCGAAGATACATTATATTAAATGTGGCACTTCACAACAACGAACGCAACTCAAACAATTTGAATTTGCCTATGATTTTGCGATAGCATGTCCGGAAACCGAAATTACAGGAGGTAAAATTCGTGAGATCAAATTGTCCAAAACACCAAAAATTAAGTGAACACCAGTAATCTATTTTTGAACACTAATTCAAACTCTACACAGTTACTTTAATAACATCTGAAACGGGAGGCATAGGCACATATAAGCGAGAGTTGGCAACCAGAAGAAGTTTATATTTAGCTACTCAGTCGTGAGCTACCAACACAATCAGAGGTAGAACAGAGCATGGAGCTCTTATATTTAGCTGCTCAGTCGCGAGCTACCAACACAATCGGTGGTAGAACAGAGCATGGAGCTCTTATATTTAGCTAGCTACTCAGTCGTGAGCTACCAACACAATCGGAGGTAGAACAGAGCATGGAGCTCTTATATTTAGCTACTCAGTCGTGAGCTACCAACACAATCGGCGGTAGAACAAAACATGGAGATTCGCAGAAAACAAGAAACTGCGATGCAATTGACTAAAACTTTGAAAATTTAAAACAATTATTGAATTAAACATTCGAATACCTTTACCGTACGTTAATTGCCATTGAAATATCTGTCTATTGTCGAAATTTACAAACTTGTAATAATGAACAAAGTTCGATGCTACGATGCATCATGGCTAGATGAAGAGAGTACCGGTGTACTTGGATGTCAATTTACGCATCACTGGAAAAAATGGTCACATGAATCTTTTCTTGTACTATCGCTGCGCTACAAACATAAGTAAAAAATTACCACCATACTAAAAAGCGAATGAAAGTACCGCATTTTGCAAGTACTATTTTTAAGGAAAGCGTTTCTCTTTTTAAATGTTGTGGCAGCGGTGACCAGCGAATCGTGGCGCCTGTTCTCCCGTTCCGTATTATTGTAAAAAATAAGTCGTTTTTTTTTAATTTTCATTTAGTTACGACATAAATTCCAGTAAATTTTAAACTAACATTCCATTCAGAGTTTGTATCCATTCAGAGTTTGTTAACCCTCACGAATGATTATAAAAGAGAGAGAACAATTCTTCAGGTATATGAGCCATAGTAGCTGAATTTTGATGAATATTTTGAATATGGCGGTGGGTAGAGTTCAGAGTACCAGTAATGGAGCAGTAAGTTGTAGGTTCGATCCCAGCTACCGTACCCATGACAATTGTCAAAATCGGCGAGGTGACCGGGCGGTTAAGCATAGAGGTAAAAGAGCAGTTAGTTGGGTGTTCGAGAACCACGTAATTCACACACACGTGCTGAAAAATATTTCCTTAAAAAGTCATGCGCAAGTTGTTCAATTTGAGCAATGTATAGAAATTATAAAGCGCATTGAACATAAGAAAGATTATGGGATATTATAAGAAAATGCGAGTGCTTAAAAATCGGCCGCTCTCTCGACATTCAGAAACTATCAATTAAAATTTCGAAGTACATTGAAAAAAAACTTTGCTTTTCATCAAGGGATAATGGTCCAACAAATATGAAAGTGAACGTCATGAGCAAACAGGACATAACAAGCGACCGATATAATTCGCACTATTGATTCAATGTAGGAAAATACAGCCGTGGGAGTTGTCACGCATGATTATAGCTAATGTACAGTTCACGGACGTACCGTACGCAACTCGCGAAGTTCTTCCAGTCAGCAGAAAAGACTTTTCCAATGCGAGCAACAATTACCAACACGAAGATCATGCACGTCAAGAGTGACAGTGATGCGGCAGATATAGAGTGAAAGCTTCCGAGGTTTAATAAATCGCACGCACTCTGTTACCTGAAGCGATCAAATCAATCACAGGTAGATCGCGTCCTGACTCTAACGCCATGGTTGAACTACTATATAAGGTTGACCCACGAGAAGTTCCGTCTTTAAGTTCAGCTTTCTTGTTACGTCACTGAGATCGAGAAACGTAAACAAACCCGTCATTCCCATGACGGATTGGTTGACTGGTTTGATCGCATTTCGGTGATTGGTTAATGCATGGTTGAACTATATAAGGTTGACCCACGAGAAGTTCCGCCTTCCAGTTCAGCTTTCGTGTTACGTCACTGAGATCGAAAAACGTAAACAAACCCGTCATTCCCACGACGGATTGGTTGACTGGATTGATCGCATTTCGGTGATTGGTTAATGCCTGTGACGTCACTGAGATCAGTGACGTCACAGACGAACAACGAACTACATCCGCAAAAATGGGCTTCTGATGGGTCAACCTTAGACTAGTTCAACCATGTCTAACGCCACCATCAGCATGCCCCCGCAAGGCGTGACAGTTCCATAAAGTTTCATGAATAGTTTTCAGTCTTTCTCTTTCGGGGGCCCTCCATCGTCCATCTCCTGTATAAACGCATGACCGTCGGTTTATGAAACAAATACAATATTGTAGATACATAGATGAGATATACAGACGAAATCGAACAAATAAATTGAGCGAGCTAACAACTTCAGGAAACGGTGACTTTCGCAGTTGGGGTAATAGTACTATCATTCGTAAGGTTGATGATCGTGAAAAAAATTCAACAGCTTTCCACTAACTGATTACCATATTTTAACAAACTGCCTGTACTTGATTATAAATCAAATCAAGGCTTTCTTGAAGATAATAATGTTAAGATGAACAGGAGGCTGCAGCTTACGCTCTATAATGAGATTTTCACGACTTTTTCTTGAGCATAGAATGAACTATCCAGTAACAGTAAACGGAGCAGAACAGAATTACACACTACATTGAACGCTACTTCAGTATGGTCACTCAGAATCCACAATAACTCGCGGATTGTGCTTCTAAATAACGTGAGCTTCCTCTCCGACTTTCTCAAACTTTCTTATCCAGGCTTTTCTACGCTCGTAGTTGTCCGCTGACCGACCATCTGCTAGTGCAACGATTTAATAAAATAGGTTTAAAATAGGCGGGTTTTAATGAGAATCTATATTTTGTTGCGGTTCTTTCCCGCCTGGCAATTAGAGATTCAGAAAAAATAGAGATTAATTTGATTTCAAATGATTTGGTAAAATCGGTTTAAAATAGACGGTTTTTAATGAGAATCCATATTTTGATGCGGTTCTTTCCCGTCAGGCAATTAGAAATTCAGAAAAAATAGAGATTCATTTAATTTCAAACTATTTTAAAAAATCGGTTTAAGATAAGCGGTTTTTAATGAGAATTTATATTTTGATACGGCTCTTTCCCGCCTTATACTTTGCGTTTTACCCATTATGGTAAGTAGAGACTCAGAAAATGTTGAAAGTGATTATATAGGTTATTACGATTATTGAAAACAGACGGAAATGATTCTCTAGAGTCTAGACGATCTGATTATTTACATAAAGTATAAATTCGACAATTAGATCTGATTGCATCCGTGCACATGCACACTATGAGTGGAATAAAATTAAGGTTATCACATAAAGAATGCCTTGCGTTTAATAACGGTTACCTACAATTGTTAAAAATATTTGTAGTTGAATTGTAAATTGATCGTGATGCATAAAATTCAATATTATCAAGGTTTTCGTGAGACGAAATTTAGCCTCAAAGCAAAAGTTTGTATTAACTTCAATAATTATCAAAAAAAATTAACAAACGCCATTCACGTTAAAATTTTGTACCAAAATAAGAGAAGTGAAGGGAATATCTGCGTCAGCGACCGTGCTGGTCTATAGGCCTGTAACCTCGACGCACGTACGAGGTTCTCAGTCGCCGTGAGGGGAGAAGGCCTTATTGCTAACGGCAGCTGAAAGTTTATAGAATAGAATAGAAGTGTCGGCACTGAAGAAATAGGCCCATGGCCTGTTGCCGATTCTTGAATTTTTCGTGACTTGATTCACAAGGGATCCGGCCTTTGGAACCCGATCTTTCCATAACTGACGATTGATTGAGATAGCTGCTGGACTTGTTGCCTCCTCGAAGATTACCATTGAACTAAAATATTTTCCACTCTACATAATAATTTGAGCAACTTTTATCAACATAGTGGATACGAACTGAAAAAATTACGACCAATACTAACGAGATAAACATTGAAAACGCAACTGTTACTATGGAGATGGACGGCTGATGGTGTCACTGAGCCTTTTGCTACGTGATTTCAGGAACTATTTGACCAAATGACTTGAAGTTGCTGAAAATTTGGTGGCACATGCCGCCCGAAGCATTTAACAAAAAATTCATCGTATATAATCTCAACATTTGTTACTTGCAACTAATTGCAACTAACATTTGTGACTTGCAACTAATAATCTCAACATTTGTGACTTACAACTAATTATAATTGCAACTAAAATATTACCAGAGACGCTCGATTTGACTGTCAAAACAATAATACAAATATGAATAAATTAAACATAATTATTTTGAGAAAAAAATTAAGAGAAACTGTGATCCCACAGTATGTTTAACACAAATTTTAAAACCGATAATTCATGTTCCAACAAATTTATGAGGCAATAAACAGCGACAATAATTCTCTACTACGAATTCTAACGCAAAATGGACAAATTACATAATTCGTTGGCATGCAGCAGTGATCGACGAGGAACGATATACGTCAACGATACGCGCACTAGGCGAACGTAATATTGTTATATACGCTAGTGAAATACTTCAAGGCGAATACGTTCACAGCGTAAGTCAGGCAATGGGGACAATCTTTATAAAACACGAAATTTTACTTGTTTAATTTTTCAGCGAAACTGAGTTAGATTGTGCGCCCTTGAGCAAAAAAAAATATAACTCAGTACTCACTGCCGTGAGAGACAGAGAGCGCATTTTCTCGTCGACGAAAACGTGAAATCACGGACGAAAAGACAGACGGACGGACATGGCGAGCACAATAGTGCATTTTTCCATAAATGAGAAAATGCACTAAAAATGTAAAAAAATACGTTACTTACAAAG